TAAATAAATATTTACTTTTATTTATAATATTAAGCATATGTCTATTTGAAATAAGTTCTAATAGTTTAAATATTTTCATTTCTTGACTTTAAAATTTACTTTACTTATTTAAAATATATATTAATATTATTAGTATTCTTAATATTTCAAAATAATTCGAATATTTTTAAAATAATAATTTTATTTTCATCTTTATTAATATCATGGCTAATAAAATGACTCTAGCTTTTTTTAATTATTTTTATTTAGTTTGAATATATTTAAAATTTTTCGAATTATTGTGCAATCTTTTCATGCTTAATATTCATAATATATTTCAAATATTATTGCAAAATGCTAAAATAATATTATGTAATTTGTATATTTCCAATATTTCGAAATTATTTATTTATATTTAGTTTTTTTATGATCTATAAAATAATTACGTAATATTTAGGTTTTTTATGATCCTCTTATTATTTCGAAATATTACACCCTTTTAAATTTCTGATAGCCTAATCTAATTTAATTCGAATTATTTCGAATTATCTTTATCTCATTCATGAATATTTACGTTTAAAATATTAGCTCTTTATTTTTATTAATTATTTTTAATTATATCAAATTTTTTTAATATTTTTCGAATTAATTTGATTTATTTTAATCTAATAATTTATTGTAATTTATCTTAATCTGTTTCATTCTTGATTATTGATATTTAAAAATAATAGCTCTTTATTTTTAATTAAGTATAATTAGTTTAAACATTTTTAATATAATTCGAACTATTTCAAATTAATTTGCTCTAATAGTTCATAGATTTTTATCTCAATCTGTTTCAAATTAGTTCAAATTATTTTACGTAATTTTGCATTATTTTTTGCGTAATATTGTATAATATTCTTATATAATATTTCGTAATTGTATATTTCGCAATATTGCAAAAGTTTTTATATAATTTTACAGTTTTCTTATATTTTGTAAATTATTACGCAATATTATGGCCTATTAAATTTGCTGATGTAGTTATTTGTTCTATAGCCATGGATGCAGTCAATTAACTGTGAGAGGTATTGGTTGGCTGTAGAAGCCTCACTTGAAGGGTATGCTAGATTTTTATTGTTGTTATAGATAATAGATCTTGGCTAATTATATGATTTTGTCTTTATAGATGATACACGAAGTGGCTAAATGGACTTCGGCATACAATACAATTAAAAACTTTACTAGAAAAATCAACAATAAGGAGAAAAATCTAAATGAATTTCAACCACTATCAAAGAAAATTAAGAATGATAAACCATATCTTAGTGAAGAGGTACGACATAGTGTTTTCAATATATATTTTGCAACAAACTATCATGTGTAGTAAATTAACTTTTTCTTCTTAATCATGAATTTATTGTTTAATGACTTTCTTAAAAGAGAGAACTTCTCAATTTTCGTTCACCGTCCCATTTTATTTTAATAAGTTTTGATAGTGAACTCTATGAATATGATAGTTCGGATGAGAAAGAAGGATTTTGTCTTGATATAAATACTGCTTCATTTGATGATTATCTTGATTAAAGTAAAGGAGATTCTAAGTAAAAATTACTAGATAGTCAGCAATTTGTTAAAGCTTTTAATAGTAAGACTTCCGAAATGGCTAAACTATTTCTGAAAAAAGACAAAAAAGACTAAACCCTAATTGCGAAAAGTGTTATCAGATATAGTCTCATATTTTTTAAAGTTACAGATAAGAAATTTCTAATATGGTAAATGCAGATTAGGATTGTCTTCAATAATTGATTTATCATCTGAGTTTGAGAATGGAATGTGTTCATAGCTTGAGAAGGATTGAACTAATATTAAAAAAAAGGTATATGAAATTGTTGATATAAAACTGAAAGGTTTCGAGGTGAAAGTGAAAAATATAATAAACACCATTAAAGAAAAAAGTGATATCTATTGACTTTTAAGCATGTGTACATGTTATATTGTTTACTTATCTTATAGTTATTTGACTATAATCAGATGTGTAGCATGTACAAATATAATGAAGCCCGAGATTATTTATATAAAATTAAAACTAGCAATACTTCTTAGATGTTAATACAAATATTAAATATTTATTTTTATATGTGAGTTTTTTCTTTAATTTTTAATTTAACTACATTAGTCACTAATTAATATTGTTAAATTTATTTCAGAATCAATAAATTTTTAAAAAATGCTTTTATTTTTGTTGATAACTCCGGAAAGTGCCAAGAAATAAGTGAAATTGAATATGCAATTAAGATGATTGCACTGATAATGAACGAAATATTTAGTGATATGTCTGAATATATAAAACTTCGCTAGTACAATTATTTTACATGAACAATAAATAGTATTGATTTCATACTTTTTTTTTTTTTTTTTGGTATTAAGGTGACCTCTTTGGTCTAGGGAACTTTTTATTAGAGTATAGACGAAGTTTTAT